GTCAGAGCCCTCCAGTGCCTGCACACCTTGCGACACTGCAGGATAGCGTCGGCCGGAAGCCTGCTCAGAATGTCGATTAAGATATTATCCGGGAACGGACCGGGTCCGGTTTTTCGCCCCGGGCGGAAGCACGAAAAATGTGAAACCCACTGGATCACCATCATCAGTTAGGAGGTGAAGATCAGACCTCTGGTTTTTTTACCTATGCAAAAAATAAAAAAAAAATCTAGCATCAGACATTTATAAAGCATATTCGAAGAGAATTTAATTAATCACCTGCCACTCATAAAAAAATCAAATAAACCTTTCCTACACAGTCAAAAAAAAGAGAAAAAGAAGACATGAATATGATCACAGAAGAGACGTAAAAGATGCAGCCATGGAATTGGGACTTACAGTGGGAGAATGAAAGAGAAGAGGCTGCTAATTAATTCCGAAACGCCGGGCAAGAAAGTGAATTGGGACTTGCCGAATTGTTTTATTTATGGGTTTAAGTCCTAATTGTCCTATATTGAAGGTATCCTAATTCCTAGTCCTGCTCCGATCCGTATGGGTAGTGAGTGATTTAGCGAGGAAACATAATTTATTTTGTTCTCTCTTTCTTGGACCGCCAATTGGATAATAATACGGAGTAATTACGTACGGAGTATATTTTTAGCTGGGATTTGGGAATGGGAGATGCTAGGGGTACACCAAAGGTATACCCCAAATGTACACCACCCCACTCTTTATCAATCATTTTATTTTATTTTTATTTTTAATTTTTTTTTGAATTTCACTTGCCTTTTTGTGTGGTTATAGAGGGGGTGGTGGATGTATGGGGTACACTTTTGGAAAGTGTACCCCTAGCATTTTCCTTTGGGAATAGGCCGTTTGAATTTCTTAGGCTGAGTTGGCCTCATCTGATTTTTTTGAAGTTCTGGTTTCATCTGCTTTGATTTGGTCTAATTTGATATGATTTAATCTAATGAAATTTGATTTGATATAAATTTGATTTAAATTAAAATTAAAATTATTATTATTATTATATTTATAATATGAGTAATAATAATAACAAAAATATTAATAATATAAATATTAATAATAATAATAATAATATAAATATAATAATAATAATAATAATAATAATAATGATAATAGTTATTTTACTAATAATAATAGTAATAATAATAATAATACTATTGGTAATAACAATAATAATAGTGATAATAATAACAGCAATAATAATATTAATAATAATAACAATGGTAACAATAATTATAATCATAATAGTAATATTAGGAATAACAACCATATTAATAATAAGAGTAATTGTATTAATAATAATAGTAATAGTAATATTATTTTTGTTTAGATCTCATCTGACTAGACGTGATCATATTTAATTTAATCTGATCTGATTAGATCAGGTGAGATCTGATTTGATCTAATTTTAATAAGAATAAGTACTAAGTAGAAAAAAATAAGTTGAACGGAACGTAGCCTTGGCCATGTTTGAATTTTTATGACCCAAACTAGGGGGGTATTATTAATTTCTTATTGTGTGTAGATTACATTTTACATTTAATTTCGAAAATTTGTTTAGAATAATCCCAATTTTACTTCGTTTTTAAAAATAATTCTAATTTTTCCTGTAATGCTTAATAATCTCAACTATTCTAAAATTTGCGAGTTTTGGATCGCAATTAAGCTTTTAACTAAAGCCCATTTTCCGCAACAATTTCCGCAACAAATGAAAATTGAAGATTTTTTATGAACTTTCATTTTGAATTTACTTTAGAAACAAAATGAGATTTTACAAACATAAAATTTTAGTACTTGAAATTTTACGCTTAGTTTTTTTATTGGATATGATATGATATGTAGATAAATACAATTCAACAAGTACACATATAAGTTTGCTTAGAAATCATCCTAAATAAAAGTAAAACATAGAGAAAATTCAAAATAAAAATTTTATTTTTTATTCTTAAAATAGGAGTTTGCATATGGTAATGTGTCATTGTATATTGCCGCTTAACATTTTTGGAAATGTATTGACATGATTGACATAGTGTATGATTTTTAACTCTTATTTTGAAAATAAAAATAGATAACTCCAATTTTGGTTAATCGATCTTTTTATGTTTCACTCGTTGTTTAGTCATTTTTCTAAGTCTATAATTAGTAGAAACAAAAGGAAGATTTTGATTCAAAGTTGAGGGTTTTTTGAGTTAAGTAAAAATAGAAAAGTTTTTTGGGACCGTTCAAGTATATGTTATTTCCTATAAAAAAATTTCTTTTACACTATATGTTTGTATCAAGGAATTTGAAAGGGAAAAGAAAAGAAAATGAAGTGGAAAACCATTTTTCTTGTTTGATTAGAGGGAAAAGAAAGGAAAAGTGGAAGAAAAAGAAAATGAGGAGACAAAATGTACCAAGTGGAGGGAAAATCAAATTCCTTCCATTTTGGTGAGGAAAAATGAGAGAAAACCATTTTCTTTTCTTTTTCTTCCAAAATCCTTGAGCCAAACATAGTGTTAATTTTTTTAGATTTCATCCATTAACACCTAAAATATCAAAATGTATACTTCAAACATTTTAAATTTTTCTTCCATTAGAGGCAAGAGTGTTTTATTATCTTCTTCATAATCTATTTGTTTACTTCAAATAGTGATGGACGTGGCGTAACAGCTACAAATTAATTTATTATTTTCCTTAACTTAAATTTATTTTCATGAATTAACATTGATTAACATATATAGATAGGGCAAGTAAAGGTCGATCACACAAAGAAAGATATTTCTTATTGTTATGAAATTAGTTACTTCGTCGCTTTTATTGAATAAAAACTAATTAAAATCTAATGTCTAAAACTAAGAGATATGGGGAGTTTGATAAATAAATTTAAAAGAATAAACACAAGCAAATAAACTAAAGATATAAGGAGTAGGATAACAGATAGACCTGGCAAAAAATGACCTGACCTGTTTTTGACTCGAAACCCGACCTGAAAATACTAGGTTTTGAACAAAGCTTTTGATGACTGAACCCGAAGTTGACCGAACCAGAAAAGACCCGCTAAAAATAGGTCAAACCCGACCGAACCCGAACTCGACCTGACCGACCGGCTAAAGAGTTTTTCACAATTATACACTTTACTACTCGTTTTTAATGTATCAATTTATATTTTCATACAAAATTTCAATGATATTGCATAATTTTCTTACTTTTTTCTAAACTTAAGCATTTTTTAAATTTCTTATTTTGATTTTTATATCTTAAACTATTTTCTGGATTTATAATAAAATAATCTAGTAGATTTAATACATTTTTTTGATATTTTAAATTTATTTAATAGAAAAGGTAAGTGTTAATGTGAATTTTAAAATTTAAAAAATCAAAGTCATAAACTGTTGGGTCGACCCAAACCCGATGACACTGCGTCATGAACATACTGTTCTCAACCCGAACCCGAAATAACCTGAACTTGAAGTGACCGAACCAAACCCGACCTGACCGACCGTTTTGCCAGCTCTAATAATAGATAAGATATAAAATAGGGGTGAGCATGGTACGGTATGGTACGGTATTTAGCCCGTACCGATACCGTACCAAATATTTCGGTTCGGTATGGGATTTTACTCCGTACCGATCTTGATCCCAAAATATCGGTTCGGTATGGTTCGGGATGGTTCGATGTCGGTTTCGGTACAAATCGGGATGAAGATACATACATACTTTACATGTTAAAATTTAACAATACCCTTTTATTTTTGAAAATTAAAAGTGAATTTAAATAAAAACATGAAAAATTAAAAAAATGAATATTTAAATGCAAGAGATGCGTATCAAAAACTTAGTTTATATTTCACAAACTAAAAAATGAATGACAACAAAGGAGTATTTTGAATCTTTGTGAATACTTGTATGCTCATACACAATAATTAAAACTCAAATAAAAATATAATTTACACATAATAACACTTGAACCAATTTTTATTTAAAAAATTATAATTTAGTGAAGGAATATATAAAAATATTACTCCGGGGTATTATTTTTATACTCCCTCCGTCCCCCATAGATCTTTCCAATAGTCCTTTTTCTTTGTCCACAATAGATCTTCTCATTTCATTTTTTAACAATTAAAATACCACAACTACCCCCACTTTATTTATTACACCTCACTCACCTCATTTAATACACTCCACCCATTTTCATTAAGGGTATTATGGTAAACTTTCACCTTTTTTCAATTCTCCTTAAAAACCACCAAAAGTCAAAATGAGAACATCTTAGGGGGACGGAGGGAGTAATATTTTAGTATATATGTTCGGTACGGGATTTTCGGTATGGGACGTCACCTCGTACCGTTCCCGAATACCGTACCGACCATTCGGTTCGGTACGATTCGGTTCCTTCTCGGTACTTTTTTTCGGTTCGGTATTCTTGGTTTTTTCTGGAAATTTCAGTATCGGTTCGGTACTTGCTCACCCCTAATATAAAATCACAACATCAACTCGAACTTAGAAGTAAAACTCAAGGAGAACAAACACACAAAACAATTACACAATAAACCTTATAAAATATAAATAATAATAATTAATTTAAACCATTTTGAAAATATTTATAGATTTTATATAAATTAATATGAACAAATCTGATTAACTAATTTATTAGTAAAATTTGCACTAAATAGGACTAAAACATAATGACTTTCCCAATGTAGGACTTAAACTTTTTTATTCTCTAAATAGGACTAATAATGACCTCATGGAGGAATAATGTCCAGTAATGATGGACATTTACTTGAATATTGACTACTTGATAATGACCAAAAGTCCTACATTGGGAAATAAAAACATATGGTCCTATATGGGGAAAGTTATTATGTTTTAGTCCTATTTAGGTAAATTTCTCAATTTATTATGCCTGACTCTGACCCTAAACAGTTAATTAAACAAATCCTTCCCTATTAACCATTTATAAAAACTCGACCATTTCCGCAGGAGGGAGTAGAAACTAAAAAACCAACGCGTCTGATCCTTCAAGCGGTTGCATAAGATCATCCCAATCGACGTTGCCGCACACATATCGGTTGCTGCCTCCATAGGTAATTCTTTCCTCCCTATATTTTAACATCGTGTATTTATATTTGTTGATTGCAAGTTCATCATCGTTTATTTGTTTGTTTGATTCTACTTTCTTGTGAATTTGAAACTTTAAAACCCTAATTTTGATGATCCGAATTTTTGTTCCTCATGCGTACCTGCATTCCCCTCTTCATGATTGCTTTGATGATTATTTATTTATTCAAATTTTAAAGTTTATTTTAATGAATGTAGATGGAAAGGAACAGTAAAAGAAACAGATCCCGCAGTCGGGCTAATACCGGTGAGGGCTGCGGAGGGATTGTGGAGGAAGTTCCTCTTGAGGTTATTGGAGATATATTGTCTCGTGTAGGAGTTGCACGAGACGTGATTCGAGCTTCCCTAACTTGTTCCAAGTGGAGAGAAGCTTATCTCAAACACCTTCATACACTTTCCTTTAATGTCGATGATGATGATCGTGTCTATCGGGAACTCCCTACTTGTGACTTAGAAATGTTGATCACAAAGACCCTATTCCAATCACCCGGTTTGCGAAGATTGTCGATTCTGATGGATGAGAAGCACATATTTACAGCCACTTCAGTGGTGGGTTGGTTAATGTTCTCCAGAGAAACATTGTCCGAGTTGTTTTATAAGGCCAGAACTTCTCAGCCTATTGATGTTCTTGATGTACTTGGAAGGCAGCGACTTGAAACCCTGAGTTTATGTGATTACACAGTAACAGGGGTTGTGCCGAATTTCAAAAGATTCCCAAGTTTGACTTCACTTTCTCTATGTGACGTCAGTATCCCAGTAGAGGGACTGCAACGACTTCTTTTGGCTATTCCCAAACTAGAGCGTGTGGAACTTACCGATATGTTTCTATGGGGTTTAAACGATGATGTTTATTCGGCAAAAGTAACAGTCAAGTTGCATTGTCCTTCATTGAAGTTTCTTTCGCTTACTCATCTTCAAACAATGGACTTTATTTTGGAGAATGGTAGTCGTATTGAGTACGTGCGTGTGAGAAGATGTGGTTTTTGTTTATTTAAGATCAATGGTAGTAAAAGTTTGAGGCACTTCAACATGTCCTGCGCTAGGGCTCTTCTTCTTGAAATTGAAGACGGAGACAACCTTGAGAGTTTAGAATTCACAAGGAGTGATGTTGCCCAGTCAAATTTATTCCCAATGAAGATACGCGCACCAAAGTTGAAAACGTTTCGAATTTGGGATTCTAACATTGTTGAAAAAGGGAAAGGACTCGCGGTGGATTTGGAACAACTAGCTGTTGGTTCACCACAACTTACCCATCTTGCAATATTTTGTGATAAGGGATCATTTTGTAACATTAGTTTTGGATTCTCGCTTTCCTTGGAGAAGGTCGGGGTCTTCGAGATTGGATGGGAATGGAATTATATTGATGGCTTTTGTGAGTGGACAGAGAAGGTGTTGAAGTGCTGCCCAAATGTTAGGAAATTGATTGTCCATGGGATAGTTCCAAAAGAGGCTAGTATTCCTTGTCCTTCAAAGTATTTGAAGGACTTTGGTGAGCACACATCATCAATGTTTGAAATGATGAGGAAGTATCAGCATATACAAGTGCAGTTTGTTTACAAGTATCAACTCTACGCGTAATTACTGTGCCTTGGGGCAGGTACGCACACAAACACTCTTGAATCACTATGTATTCATTTTCAGATTATTCCCGACTAGGGTAAGGTCCTGATTACTTGGTATGTTGTTACTTTTCCAAGCCTTGTGGGTATCTTCTTAGGCATGAAACTTCAGTGTATGACATTGTGGAAAGACTTGTGTTCTTTTATTTATAATTTATAGCATTGTAATCTAATCTCTGTTGCTCTAATCTAAGAATTATCCCTGCTGGTATTACTATCTCAGAACCTGAAATCTTTTGAGATTATTCTCTTTTTTAGGGTCATGTTGTCATGTTATGGATGACATCGAGTGAGACGTCATCTATTGTCTTAATGACAGTGGTTATTATCGTCAATTCGTCACACAGACAATCCAATGTAATTGTCACACAGACAATCCAATATAATTATCTAGAATGGTGTCTTCCTCAATTTTTTTAATCTACAACGGTGTCAACATTGGTGTCATGGGCGAAATAGCATTTTTCTCTTTTTTAAACTCTATCCGAAAACTGAAGTCACACTTCTTTTTTAACATAACATACCCTACTTTTTCAATCACTTCCCCTCACTTCCAACCGACTCTTCCCTACCCTTTTCAATTTCAAGGACTTATATATTTTTTAAAATTGGGATTTTATAGAATTAGATTCGATGTAAAAGAATTTCCCAATAGGGGAGGGACACGAGCTCGCAATTGTGAAGGGGGGGGGGGGGGGAAATAGGATGTCCCAATTAAAAGGAGAGGCCCCTAACGGTTGTGTTTGACTCTTGGCGTAGTTCAAGTGATCAATAAAAAGTGCAAAAATGATTGTAGCCGCCGGATTGCATAACTCAAATGTTCAATGAGGGGTTGCAAAAGGGTGTTGTGGCCTGGTTCGATTCCGAGCAAAGACAGTGGATGTTTAATTGTTTATGGTTTGCATAAGATATCCTTTTGTCACGATCAGGTACAAATCACATTTCTTATTCGAGTCGAGGCCGGGAGAATCCTAAAATGGGTTAATGTTTTATTCAAGGTATAAGAGTTCGCCATTTTGGGTTCCAGCCATCGATCACTTCCAAGTGCAGGATTAATCCAGCGAAGAACCTTTCCATTTTGCTACGGTTTCTGGTGTGACTAGCTGCATGCCGATTAGCTGGATTATTTTTATTGTTTGTTAAATGTGTGGTGTGTAAAATTACGAATAAAGATTATTGGGGATCAAAATAATTAAGGATTATTATTATTATTAACACTATGTTTGGTTCAAGGAATTTGAAAGGGAAAAGAAAAGAAAATGAAGTGGAAAACAGTTTTTCTTGTTTGGTTAGAGGGGAAAAGAAAGGAAAAATGAAAGGAAAAGAAAATGAGAAGGCAAAATGTGTCAAGTGGAGGGAAAATCAAATTCCTTCCATATTGGTGAGGAAAATGAGAGAAAACCATTTTTTTCTTTTCCTTCCAAATTCCTTGAACCAAACATAGTGTAAAAATCTCACCAAACGATTTGTTTATCGTTGCAATTATGGATGAGCTATTTCTCATTTTTTGTACTAGTCGGTCCAAGCGATTCGTTCTTCGTTGGTTTATTTATTACTACGTATTAGCAAGTGAGCTCGAGAGAATCACAAGCGATTCCCAGGCTTGTAAGAAAACAAGCATGAAGGATCCTAGATGCTCGACTACAGGTATGCCACGTTCGAAAAAAACAAACCAATACTTTTCCCTAGTTTAAAAGAAATTTCAACTTCATTTTTGTATACGGATTTTTTTTTAACACGATAAAAATCAAACTAAATACACAATGTTCGTCCTTTATCACCTTTGGAGTTGAAATACGTAATGTTCGTCCCAGGGGCGGACCCACATAGGATCATACGGGGTCAAGCGACCCCATGGAAATTTTAAATTTTTTTAGTATATATTTAGATATATATAATTTTTTTAATATATACCTAGATTTAGTATATATTCTACGAAACGCCAAAAGCATCAACTGCCCAGCTCTGAAGGAGTGGAAATCTCCGTGGTCTTAATTCGTGTCAGCGGTCTCTGCGGTTCTGTGTTCGAATCCAGCTGAAGGGTGCTTACCATACATATTTTTTTAAAGAAGAATGCCATCAAAACGGCGTCCTTTGTTTTTTTCCGATTTTTGCTTAAAGCAGTCTGCACTTCTGCACTAACGTCTAGACCTAATTGCAATATCCGAATTCGAAACTTGAGACTGACCATCCGCTCGCCAACGGTAGACTCCAAACCTCCGCTGGCCGCCGCTTGGAAGTTCGAACCGACGATGGCGACGAGGACCCACCAATTACTCGAACAACTAGGTTTTTTCTCTTAAATCTAATTATCTTAATTAGATATTTCTTTTTTATTTGTAAATTGTGAAAATTTTAATTAATTTTTATAAATTTGTTATTTTGAATAGAAAAATAGATAATTGAATTCGTTTATTTATTTTGTAAGATTTTGATTTGTGAATATGTTAATATAATTAGGTATTTAGGTTATGTACTTATGTTATAAGTTTATAATATTTATTATTATTTAAATTTCAATATGTACTTATGTTTTAAGTTATAGGATGCAAAGGTATGTACTTATGTTTTAAATTTCAATATAGGATGTAATTATTTAAATTCCAATTTAGGCTATGTACTTATGTTTTAAGTTTATACGGAGTAATATTTTTAATGAGATGATTTGTGGAACAAAATCAGCAATGAAGTCATGGAGTTTTGTAATAAAAATAATATATTTGTGCCTAACATGAATGCTCGTTATGTGAAGCAAAATAAGCTTGCACGAAATGCTCCAGTTGTTACAATTTTGCATCATTACAAGTTTGATTGCTTGTTTGAGATAATTGATAGATTTGTCGAGGAGCTTGGGAGCAGGTTTGATGTAGCAAGCACTGAATTGTTAAATTGTGTTGCACGTTATCATTTGTAA